CTATTCTGTTCTGTCCCCACCTCAATTCTTAAGAACATGCCAGGCATTTGCACAATGACGGAGCCCTCAGCTACTCTCATGGGAAATCACAAAAACAATGTTTAGCTAATTATTAGGATCTTAGTGTCCAGTTCAGTGGGCTCCCATCTTCGTTCCTTTTAAAAAAATATAGATGTTTTTATTGATTTTGTTAGAGAGAGAGGAAGGAAGAAGGAGAGAGAGATAGAAACATCGATGATAAGAGAGAAACATCAATTGGCTGCCTTCTGTACACCCTACTGGGGATCAAGCCCACAACCTGGGCATGTGCCCTGATCGGGAATCAAACCAGTGACCTCTTGGTGCATGGGATGATGCTCAACCAAATGAGCCACTCCAGCCTGGCCATCTTTGTTCCATGATGGCTGATGTTGAAAAAAGTGGGCTGCTCCTCTGGGTTCCCGACAGCATGCTGGCCACGTGTCCCTCACACTGTCCAAGCAAAGCCCTCCTAAGAACCTGCGCCAGATAGGCCTCTTCCCGGAATCCCCGCATAAAGTGTCCCTTTCATTTGGGAGAGCGGTGTTGGTATCCAAGAACTTCTTATGAGGAAGCCGGCAGCCCCGCCTCTTGCAGGTGATGGCTCCAGTCTGGAAACTGCTCATCTCTCTGCTGCCATAGGAAGAATTACATTACTAGCAGAACTAAAAGACCAGCCAGAAAAACCATTAGGAAGAGTACAGCAGCTGCAGAAGAAGTGTAGAGACCTCAGAAATTACTGTATGTGGAACTGGATAGGAATAATTGATTATTACCCAAAAATTGTCAAATGGACCAGTGGGAAATGAGGACACAAAGGCAACTAAGTCCTTTTATTTTTTTAAATGTGTTTTTATTGATTTCAGAGAAAGAAAGGGAGAGGGAGAGAGAGAGATAACAACATCAATGATGAGAGAAAATCATCAACCAGCTGCCTCCTACACGCTCCCTACTGGGGATCGAATCCAGGCCCTGGGAATCGACCATGACCTCCTGGTTCATGGGTCGACGCTCAGCCATTGAAACATACCAGCCAGGGCAGCAGCTAAGTCCTTTTAAAGTCATTTAAGTGAGCTGCAGTCAGCACTGACAGTGGCAGGGTTCTTCAGGTGCACTCTGCCGGGAACATCCTGAGCGAAGCACTGTTTCTTGAACTCAGGAAGCCTGTCTTTCTGCTGGGAATGTTGACATCCAAAATTTCCAGTTAAGACCATTGTAAATCTGGTCCCTGTTGAGAAAATTAGATTAGACTCCACTTAGATCACATTTGGCCTAATGATGTTTAGTACCTCCTGGGGCCCAATATTCCCCAATGTGCATTAATTGTGAAGAGAGATTATATGTCATGAGGAAACGCGGTGATAATCTGGATTATAAAGTATCAGAAGCTTCTAATGGAGGGGGATGTTTATGTTTCAGTTTCATAAATTCTTTACGAAGGAGGTAAACACTTTTAACCTGAGTGTTCGGATTATGCCTGCCTACGGGGCCTTCTTCCCGGGTCAGTTGTGATTCTGGGAAACCTGGAGAATGTATGAAGGCTGCAGTGACTACATTCACTTAGGTCCAGGCTGGGTTTCTCAGTCTTGGCACTGTTCATATTGGGGCCAGATAGTTCTTTGTTGTGGGCACTGTTCTGTGCATTGTAGGATATTGGGCAGCATCCTGGGCCTCTAGACAGCAGCAGCATCCCTCCACCCACCCCTCCCAGTCGTGATCACCAGAAATGTTTCCAGACTTTATCAAATGTCTCCCCCCACCCCCAGGGGGGCTGCAAAATCCCAGCCCCCACCTGCCATTGAGAATTGCTGCTTTAGGATGACCTACCAGCCATCCCGGTTTGCCCAGGACTGAGGAATTTAGCCTGTGGGACTGCCAGCGCTAAAACCAGGGCAGTCCATGCAAACCAGGAAGAGTTGGTCACCCAGCTGTGTCGCTGATGCGTTCTACATCATACTAAAGTTTCAAAGTAAGAAACCAAACGTCTTGAAAAGTCTGTCTTCCACAAAGGCCTTTGGGGAACTTGGTATCATTTCACAGCAGCATGCTTTGCATTCTGGTAAAGGCTTCAGGGACAAACGCCCATCTTTTCCCCCAGTGTCTCTAAACCTGGGTCGTGGTGAGAGGGGCCATGGGGAGCTTCGGTCCTGGCCAGTGGCCCAGGAGGACATGCTTGGAACCATGCCGCCTTTCTGGGAAGAGAGGTTCTTGTTTGACACCTAGTAGTGCGCTTGAATGACAGACGTCTCCTTAGAACTGTAGGCGGTGTGACAGGATCCATCGTGAAAGTGACAGCAACAGTGGGGACTAATTTAATTCCATTTTTGCTTGCAGCCCTGATAAATCATTACTGCAGGGAAAACTAAATTTTACTTTCTCAGACCAGAATGATTTAAATAATGATGTGCTCTGGGGAAATTGGGGTCTGAGAGAAGGTCTGTTCATGGGCTTAAAAATATTTAAACTGAAGTATTAGAGAACTTGTCACAGAAGCCTCCTGCGCCTGGCCCGGTAAATGACTCGCACCAGAAGGACCTCCCTCCCACACTAAATAGAACAGTCGCATAAAATCATACCAACCATCTTGGCTGAAGGATTGTGTTTTTTAGGGTGTCTCACTGGAAAAGGTAATTGACTATAGGGCTGTGTACCCTGCAAGAGCTGGTGAATGAATCAGCTAAAAATAAGGATCCTAGACTCTAGAGTCCTGACCATTTACACAAATGGGAACAGTCTCCATGTGAATGGAAAATCGCCAGTGCCTTTCATGTTCCTTCCAGAAAATGATTGCTGCTTAGGAATGTGCTTATGCTGGGAGGCTTATTAAATGATACAGGGAATGAATTGTGGAGGAAGGGGACTTGGGTCTCAGAGAGGCATGCCTGAGGAGCCTAATGGATCTGGGGAGGGGTGCAGTGTAGATGGATCACCGCTCCCAAGGAAGACAGTGAATAGGGGGGCCCCAGTGCTGGTAGGGAGCCATAGGTGCTTTGTCTAAGCTAAACAATGCCTCGCCTACTTTGGGGACAGCCTGCAATCCTCTTGCCTGTGAGTAGAATCCACCCTCCCTATACTAATTGCCATATCACTCTGGAATTGGGGGCAAAGAGGAGGGAACACAGGGGAAGTTTTGCTTATGACCCACACAGGACATCAGCCCCAGTGTGCTCCCACTTCAAGGACTGAAAGAATAAATCACAGGCAGAAGCTATAAAAACGCCTGTCGGGAAGCAGCCTTCCTTTTGAGCGGTGAATGTAAGGTAAATGAGCAGTTACCGCAGAGATGATTTCCTAGGAGTGAGGCGTTCTGCATTAGAGCAGCAAGAAGGATGGTTATGTGAATTCCGAAGCTGCTCCGGCTCTCTCTCCACGGCCCACCTGAAGCAGTGGGCTTCGTCACCGTCACCTGGCTCAGGGGAGCGTTCATCTCCCCTTTGTTTTAACCCTGAGAAATGGCCCAGAGCTTTGGGTTAGATCCAACCAGCCAACCATTGAAAATACACATTTGTCTTTTAAAGAGCAAGTCCTGGATACTGTCAGAAACAGGAGGAACAATCGGAGAAGACATTCAAGGTGCACAGTATTTTACTGGCCCTGCTTGTCATTGAATCCCACGTCCGGAGGGATTAGGGATTTGGGATTCTGGAAGCGTGATTCCCTACCCGCCCCCTTTCCCAGCTCTATCAGCTTGGAATTTAAAACTGCCTCGTGGTGTTCTCTATTGCCAACATGCAGCCCTGAGGAGCTGCGCGCCTGCATCTTCTCGCTGGTCTGATGTACTGCTAGACGTCCGCGTCCCAGACCCCAGCTGTAGGCACCAGAGTAGGAGAGACAGGAAACCCCAGGGTGTACTGCTGAGGGGAAATAAAATCGTGCCGACATATTTAAGGAATATAGAATACTGTATATTTAAATACAATATTTAAGGAATTCTCTAGGCCTGTCCTTTGCTGTGGAATTTGCCTCTGAAGGGAAACAAAACTTAATTAGCCCTTGGTTTACAAAAGGTGTTGGGACCTGTGCGCTTGGGTTTTCTCTGTTTAGCTCCAGAGGCACGGCTCTGTCATATTTGTTTGGTAAGGCTGCAGCAGCAAATTGCCAAAACTGGGTGGCTGGAAACTATACAAATGTATCCTCTCACTTTTCTGGAAGCCAGAAGTCTAAAACCCAGGCATCAGCAGGGCTGATTCCTCCTCCATCAGCAAGGCTCTGAGGGAGAATCTGTTTCCTGCCTCTCTTCTGACTTGGGGGATGTGCGGCAGTCCTTGGCTTGTAGCTGCGTCCCTCCAAACAGTCTCCACCTCCGTCTTCACATGGCCCTCTCAAACCTAGGGAGACTTTGCCTTGCAAAAACTCTATTTTCAAATCAGGTTAAATTCACAGGTTAGGAGGTGGATACGTCCTTGAGGGGAGACGCAGTCAACCTTATAGTCATGAAGGTGTTATATTATGTTTCTCTTCGCATCTCTGAAGTTGCTACTCTCTGTTGTTTTAGTCCACTTTCAAAAGACATGGCTCATTTGGATTGTTAAACTGACATCTGGGCTTTAACATTTGCCGCCTCCCCCCCCCCCCCCCCATATTGTCGTTTAAACATACCTTCATACTACTTCTCCCGCCCTATCACTCCTAGTAGACAAAGACCAGGCTGGCCAAACACTTTAAACATAGCACCTCCCAGCCACTGAATTCCCATGTCCTTGTAAATCAGACCTAAGAGGACAGGCTTCCAGTCCTATGAGGTACCCCACACCGGGCTGTAACCTTCTGCCTTCACACATTTGAGGAGCAGGTGAATATGCACAGAAAACCACAAACTGCGGGAAGGACCAGAGGGATGGGAAGGGTGGCTGCGGAGAGAAGGGCTGCCGCAGGACTCCTCCGCTCTCTAGCAGTCAATCCATCCAGAAAGACAGGGCAGCATAGCAAGGCACTGACAGACTCTGATGGTCTTTTCCTTTTCTTTCTTTCTTTCCTCTTAGCAAACTGCCTAGTTGGGCCAGAGCTGTTGTTCCCAAAATATTTTATGTTACAGAGAAGGCTTGGAACTATTATCCCTACACAATTACAGGTAAGTCCTTTGTGCAGCCGGTATGTTACATGTAGCACTAAGACATCACATGGTCAGATTTCACTGATTTCGAGTTTGTTATCCCAGCAGAGACGTGGGAGACGCGTGCTGTACCGTCCTTTCAAGTCTTCGCTTTTCCTAGAAGGGATGGGGGTGTTAAGCTAAGCCATTTCACTTGCCTTCTTAAAGTGATTTCTCAAGTAATTTTGGGGTGTGGCTTATTTTGACTTATTTGTTTTACAGCACCCCCATCCCACCCCCCAAAGAACACCTTGGCTATAATTTATGTAAAAGAGTCTGTCAGGTCTCTCTGTCCTAAACTACAGTATAGGACATAGCTATGCTGATACTGAACTAGAAACTGTGGCCAGAAAATTTAGAAGGTTTTGTTCCTGCCCTCAAACACATGAAAATTCAAGGTCCCACTTCAATATCATCAATAACAAGCTCTTCTTATTGGTTCTGAGAGCTGCTTTTCCACTTAAAAGATTGCCTGTGTGGTTAATGAATTGCTCTACTAGAATTATTAGTCTTTAATTTTGCTTTTATAATCCCAACTCTTTGGTTTTTAATTAGCCACAAACCCGCAGGCTAATTGAATTGTCTAACAGTCCTTATCAGACCAACCACCAAAGTACCATATGAAAGAATTTCAAGAGCAAACATGAAGCATTTAATATTTATAAAAGTTTAATTTTGGAAGGTTTCTTTACCACATTTTTAATAATTGTAATGCACTAGTATATGTTAGTTCTGTGGTTTTCTATTGCATATAAGTGTGGTCTAAATCATCATTTTTTTTCTCTTTCTCTTTTTTCCCCTTTTTTCCAAATGAACATCTGGGACCAGAATACACAGTAAGTTTTATTTAATCATTTTGAAATATTCAGCATATGATCAGTAGATTAATTGGGACTGCCCTTGTATTTCTCATCTTACCAATTTAATAAAAATATAGAGGAATAATTCAGAATCAGAAATATTTAAATGTTGGGTATTACATAGTTATATATAATGCAATAACCTGACTGTTTTCATTTGTTCCAGAATATGAATGTTAATTTAAAATGCCTTGAGAGTTACTTTGCATAATTAACTTTGCTTGCATTTTTAAATAGCTTGGCTGTTCTACTTGTGATAGTTCACTATAACAGAACAGCTTCTAGAAACATGGTATTAAAGAGATGATGCTTGTTATCAATGGAAGGTAGGGTTTATACCTAAAGGGGGTGGCCTTATCCCTTACAGGAGAACCTTGAAACTAGAAAGACATACATTCAAACTATTTTACTCAGAGCTCTGGGTTGGACCGTCTCAGTGGCTTGATAAAAACCATTTAATTTCTTCTTGTTCTAAGAGCCTCTGGAGGCATTATTTCCATTTTTAAAAAAGGACCGTATAACACATTGTGTTGTGGTATTTTCATTGTATCATTTCCCCAGCGGCCAACAGGTCAGACTGTCATAACAAGAAAATGGTAGTAAAAAAAAAAAAGAAAAAAGAAAAGAAAATGGTTAACTGAACTGTGATGGAGTTGAGTTTTTGGTCTTTTGTGGGGGTTTTTGTTAATTCTCCCCCGAAGGTATTTTTTCCATTGATTTTTTTAGAGAGAGTGAAAGAGAGGGAGGGAAGGAGAGAGAGAGAGAGAGAGAGAGAGAGAGAGAGAGAGAGAGATATTGAGAGATTAGTTGTCTCACACACACACTCCCTGACCAGAGCTGGGGATTAAACCTGCAACCCAGGTATGGGCACTTGATGCGGGGCGGGCGGGGGGGGGGGGGGGGGGGGGGTGCGGCGGCGGCGGCGGCGGCGTTGGGTCTTAGTCTGCTTGAGATGCATAATAAATTCCACAAACTGGGTGGCTTAAACAACAGACATGTATTTCTCACATCTGGAGGCTGGAAGTTCAAAATCAAGGTATTGGCTGCTTCGGTTTCTGGTGAGGGCCCTCTTCCTGATTTGCCTAAAGCAGTGGTTCTCAACCTTCCTAATGCCGTGACCCTTTAATACAGTTCCTCATGTTGTGGTGACCCCCAATTTCATTGTTACATATTGAACATAATTAAAGCATAGTGATTAATCACAAAAACAAATATGTAATTATATATGTGTTTTCCAATGGTCTTAGGCGACCCCTGTGAAAGGGTCGTTCGACCCCCAAAGGGGTCGCGACCCACAGTTTGAGAACCGCTGGCCTAAAGCCACCTTCTTTTTTTTTTTTTTAATTTTATTAAATCTTTATTGGTCAGATTATTACATTTGTTCCTCTTTTTTTCCCCCCATAGCTCCCCTCCACCCAGTTCCCACCCCACCCTCTGCCCTTACCCCCCCCACTGTCCTCATCCATAGGTGCACAATTTTTGTCCAGTCTCTTCCCGCATCTCCCACACCCCTTTCCCCCCCAAGAATAGTGAGTCCATTCCCTTTCTGTGTCCCTGATTCTGTTATAATCACCAGTTCATTCTGTTCATCAGATTATTTATTCACTTGATTCTTAGATTCACTTGTTGATAGATGCATATTTCTTGTTCATAATTAGTATCTTTACCTTTTTCTTCTTCCTCTTCTTAAAGGATACCTTTCAGCATTTCATATAATACTGGTTTGGTGGTGATGAACTCCTTTAGCTTTTCCTTATCTGTGAAGCTCTTTATCTGACCTTCAATTCTGAATGATAGCTTTGCTAGATAAAGTAATCTTGGTTGTAGGTTCTTGGCATTCATCACTTTGAATATTTCTTGCCACTCCCTTCTGGCCTGCAAAGTTTCTGTTGAGAAATCAGCTGACAGTCGTATGGGTACTCCCTTGTAGGTAACTGAGTTTCTTTCTCTTGCTGCTCTTAAGAGTCTCTCTTTGTCTTTTGCTCTTGGCATTTTAATTATGATGTGTCTTGGTGTGGTCCTCTTTGGATTCCTTTTGTTTGGGGTTCTCTGCGCTTCCTGGACTTGTAAGTCTATTTCTTTCACCAGGTAGGGGAAGTTTTCTGTCATTATTTCTTCAAATAGGTTTTCAATATCTTGCTCTCTCTCATCTTCTGGCACCCTTATAATTCTGATGTTGGTATGCTTGAAGTTGTCCCAGAGGCTCCTTACACTATCTTCGTATTTTCGGATTCTTTTTTCATTTTGCTTTTCTGGTTGGGTGTTTTTTGCTTCTTCGCATTTCAAATCTTTGCCTTGATTCTTGCGCTCCTCTGGTCTGCTGTTGGGAGTCTGTATAATATTCGTTATTTCAGTCCGTGTATGCTTAATTTCTAGTTGGTTCTTTATCATAACATCAAGGGTCTCATTAGATTTCTTGAGGATCTCATTAAGTTTATCAGCAGCTTCTAGACAGTTCTTGAGAGACCTTAAAAGTGTGGTTCTGAACTCTATACCCTCCATTGACAGTTTTGTCCTGTTTCTTTGTCTCCGCATTTTTTATGCTTTCTTGGTGCACCCCCTAGTGGTCTTTGTGCACAGTCTTGTTGTAGTTAAGCCTTGATTGTTGAAGTTAATACTAGGGGGATTTGACCTCCAGGCCAACTGGCTGTGAGAATCAGCTGTGTCTGCAGTGGGAAAACTTCTGTCCTCTAGGAAGGTGCTAATCTAGCCTTTGCCTGAGGCTATCTGGCAAATGGCTCTGCGCAGGGCTTGGGCGGGGCAGGTCCCACGGGATCAACAGAGCAGGTGGAGGGAGCAGTTATGGCTGCTCTCAGTCCCATCCCCAGAGGCTCTGCCTCTCAGAGTCCCAGCAACTGCTGCAAACCTCGGAGAGAAAGCTGCCCTCACGTTCCGACCGATGCCAGACAGTCCCGCTTCTCCCGTTTGAGTCTGGGTCCCTAGAGACTCGCCCAGAACTGGAGCTCAGAAGCTGAGACTCCCTCCCGATTGAAAACGACAACCGCGCCCTCAGCTACCAGCCCGCTCCTCGCGTACCTCCGCACCTTTGTATTTTCCGCACTGCGCCTCCTCTGAGTCTCGTATGGTGTTCTCTTTCCTTCTACTTGAAGAATTTCCCCCCAGCTAGTCTTCCTGTGGTTCTGGGTGATGTCTGTTCCATCTTTTAGTTGTATTTTTGAAGTGGTTGTTCGAGGCAGCTAACTCCGGTGTTTACCTATGCCGCCATCTTGGTTTTTTCCTAAAGCCACCTTCTTGCTGTGTCCTTACACAGCAGAGAGAAAAAAATCAAGCTTCCTGTTCTATTGTTATAAGGGCACTAATCCCATCATGAGGGCCCCACTCTCATGACCTCATCACCTCCCATAGACCCTATCTCCAAATATCACATTGGGAGTTAGGCTTCAACCTGAATTTGAGAGTGGGCCACAGTTCTTACATACAATGCTCATTCCAGGCCCAGTAGCTAAGTGATGTCACTGGATCCTGGCTGCCTGGACACATGGAGGCCAGGGCAGGGCAGCTCTGAATGTCAGTTCAAGGTCCACATTTCATTCTCCACAGGGAAGCAACTAATCCACTTTTGTTTTCCATCCCAAATATAGGACAGATTTTCTTTCTCACTCCAGTGGCTGGGGGAGTCTGGGCTTCTCTCTCTGGCTGCAGGTGCACTCCTTCCCAGTGACTCCGGCTCAGCTGTGTCCACAGGGTCTGCCCCCAGGATTTACAGCAGATGTTTTCTATTGTTTTCATCTTTTTTCCTGTTTTAAATGCTTTTTCATTGGACTCTTTATCCCCTGATCCTTTAATCCTAAATAGCTCTTCTTGATGTCTTTCCAAGCTTTATATTTCCTGTCTGTCCCCCAAAGCACAACTTCCCCGATGTCAGACTTCCAATTTGGGTCACCAAGCCCTACCCCTCCCTCAGGGAAGCCAGAGTGGTGTTTCTTTTCATAGGATTAGCCCAGAGCAATGTTTGTCTATTCCTAGGCTCCCCTCGGTCTTATATGTGACTCTCCAGCCTATTACTGAGACCTCATGCTGCCCTCATTTGTGACAAAATCCAGCCACGAGAACTTTCTATTTAGGGTCATCATCTAGGGTTTCCACGTGATCACAGTTATAAAGACATTCAAGCTTCATCACGGTGAGTGACTGCATGTGTTTAGGATTATGTGGAAATGTGATTTGCCCAGGAGATGGAAAAATATATCTTTAGCTTGGTTGTAGGAAAAAATCTTAATTATACAATAAACAAAGAACTACACAACGCAATTCTCCAGAGGACAGGCCATCTAAGAGACCTTCAGAACCTGCTGGTCCTTCTGAAGTTTGAAAAGTCACAAAGGAAGGTGCCCGAGGAGCCTGGCTGCCTTCCAGAGCAGCTGACTTTGTTTTTCTCGGGCTAAAAAAAGGCAGCGCTGGAGCATGGACATAGCTCAGCAGCATCGATTCAGCCTCAGTAACAATGGAGGGGGAAGAAACGGATTTTCTTCTCATTTGTAAGAATTTGACAACCTAAGCTATAGTAAGTCAATAGGAGTGACCTAGAATATTATATATATTCTGTTATGACCATCCTATTCCACTAAAACATCCTTTTTTTTTAAAAAGCAATTTAGTTGCCTTTCTCTCACCACTTCAGTTTCTTTTTTAAAATTTTTATTGATTGATTTTTAGAGAGAGGGGGAGAGAGAAACATCGCTTTGTTCCACTTATCTATACATCCATGAGTTGATTCTTGCATGTTCCCTGAGAGGGATTGAACCTGCAATCTTGGCATATCGGAATGACATTCTAACTACCGGAGCTACTTGACCAGGGTCCACCAAAACTTCTTTTAATAAGAATTTGCAGGAGAGGTGATGACGCATGGGAAGTCCTTTCTGTTAGAATAGCTGGCCGTTACCCAGGGAGCAAAGGTAGGTGTGGGTTGTCCAGTGTTACCTAGCATTTAAATTATTTAGTTAAAAGAGGTA